CCCCCTTTTCTGATGAAGGGTCTAGGCCCGAAACGTCAGCCTCTCTGCTCCTATGATGCTGCTTGGCCTGCTGTGTTCATCCAGCCCTGCACCTTGTTGTCTCGGATTCTCCAGCATCTGCAGTTCCTACTATCTTTTATTTCTATACCATTTTGTTTCATAATAGGATTACCATTCTCAACTATTAAACATCATACATATTTTAATAATAAAGCAACTGACTCCCTTCAATAGTACAAGACTCCTATGACTAACCACTAAGACCAGTAACTGCAACATTGGTTTTAAAACGAAGTAAGTTGGAAATCTCCCCCCCTGCATATTGCATCCCATGAGATTTAAAGATCCATTTCTGAGAGTACATGCCTGCTCGGGCAGAGCTTCAGATGTTGATATTATCAGGAATGGGAAAACTGCACTCTGGCAGCACTCTGTCCCTTTCCTCCACTACAGACAGTGTCTCAAGATAAATATAATGCCAAGAATATGACCCTGTGGAAGGACAAGGGTGAGTAGCAGCAATTGATTGCAATGACTGCAGAATCTCTCTGCCAAGCATCGTGACAGAAGTATTTGCCTGTGGATCCTGGCTGCATACATCCCCTTCAAGTCCTAGTGTGGTTTCAGAATTGGAAGATCCACAATTAACATTATTTCCTCAGTCTGGCAGCTTCAGGATAAATGACCTGAACAAAGTTGAGCAACATGTATTGCCTTTATCGATCACACCAAAACATTCAACCACGTGAACAAAGGTGGTCTATCAATGATGCTGGAGGAAGCTGGCTGCCTGCTGAACGTGTTCAATGTGATCTCCTCTTTCCACAACATGATGAACAAGGTCAACAACAACAACTGGATAATATTGGAACCATTTTGAGATCCGCACTGGGGCTCTGTTCAGGTGCGAGCACACTTTGGCATATTCTTTTTGCTACTGTCATTATGTCATCAGGCTTTCTGCAGAGTGCTTCTAAAGTTCCAGAATTGAGGGAAAGCTGTTCAGCTTTGCTTTACTGAAATCCAAGACAAAGAAAGATATGCCAAACTGTCATCAGACAGTTGCTGTACCGAAGATGCCAAATGAATATTCCGTACCGAGAAACATCTCCAGCTGCAAACGGACAGATTAGCACATGCCTGTAAAGAGTTTAGTTTGACCGTCAGCATTGGAAGGCAGATCCCATGATCAGGATTTGTCACACCACCATCTACCAGCACTTACAATTTGACTTTTGAAGTTTTTTGATAACTATGCATATCTAGGTTCCACTATCATCAGTAATCTGTCACTTCATGCTTAATCAACAATCACATTGCAAAATTTGCAGCTGTTAAGTCCAAGCTAAGTAGGAGAGTGTGGAACAACAGCAACCTGACTGATAACACCAAAATGCAACTATATGAAATCTTCATCCTCTGCGCACTCCTCAGTAGCAACAAAACCCGGACAACGTTTGCTAGACAGGAAAAGAGGCTGACTAGATTCCACCTTCATTCCCGCAGAAATTGCCTCAGCATCTCCTGGCATACAAAGTCATTAATTCAGAGGTTCCATGGTGTGCTAATTCAGTTACCCTACGTTCATTGCTAAGCCAATGATGTCTGCACTTGCTTGGCTATATTCGTTGCATGGATGATGACCATCATGACAGAAGGACCTTCTGCATGGTGAATGGACCACTGGTTTACAAGCTTCCGAGTTGTCAGTGCAGCTACAAGGTGTACTGCTACCTGCACCTAGAAGGACACCTGCAAATGAAATATGAAGATGGGGTATGTTGACATTGACAAATGGCAGGGAGTCACTTGCAGCCTGCCTTCTGGAGACTGACAGGAGGCCATTGGGAGAAGCAAGCAGTAATGAAAATCTCTGACGGATGAAAGAAAGGGCTCAGTGAAAAAAAAAAGAAGCCTGCAAATTCTGCATGTTTGCAGTTTGTCATTGTGAGACTCCTGAATCACAGTGAATACTTATTCACCACAGCACAAGCTATCATCTGATAAGATGGCAGGCTGCCAGCATTGCTCAAACTAGTTTAAAATAATTACTGAACTCAGTAACATTAGTCATGTTACTCAACACAATATACTTACAAGAAGTTCCAACTTTCCAGTTGAATTAACGTTGTCTTCTATAACAGTAGCTCCAAAACCTAAATCTTTGATCAAGTCTGCTATGTCAGTGGGCTGGATGATGTTTGGATTATATTTGACTTCCGCTTTTCCTGACATTAATGCTACCAGGACAGAATATATACCTAAAAGATACAATTTACATGGGAAACATTATTGGAAAATTTGTATAAATGCAATTCAAGAATAAAACAAGCCAAAATACAGTCTGACAAGTTATTTACTTTCAAAGTAACCTAAGATATATGTAAGAAGTGTGTGAACTCATTGACTTAGTAACCCCTCTTTCAAACGCCCCCTCAAACTTACTCAGTAACCATTCTCCTCAAATCTCTCTAACCACACAAACCCACCGCCCCTCTTGACTTTTGGTTCATTTGTTAGCATCTGCGAAGCAGTCATTATTTTGCAGTTTTTAAAATTTATTCACGAGATATGGGCATTGCTGGCTGGCCAACATTTATTGCCCCTCCCTAGTTGCCTTTGAGAAGGTGATGGTGAGTTGCCTTCTTGAATTGCTGCAGTCCACCTGCTGTGGCTGACCTAAATGTCACCAGGGAGGGAATTCCAGGATTTTGAACCAGTAACAGTAATGGAACAGCGATATATTTCCAAGGCAGGATGGTAAGTTGCCTGGAGCGGAACATGCAAGTGGTGGTGTTCCCGTGTATCCGCTGCCATTTTCCTTCTAGATAGCAGTGGTTGTCTGTTTGGAAGGTGCTGTCTCAGGATCTTGGGTGAATTTCTGCAGTGCTTTTTATAGGTGGTATACACTACTGCTACTGAGGGTCAGTGGTGGAGGGAGTGGATGTTTGTGGATAGAACATAGAACAGTACAGCACAGTACAGGTCCTTCAGCCCATGATGTTGTGCCAACCTATTGTCCTACTCAGATCAAACTAGCTTGCATACCCTACATTTTACTATTATCCCCACGTGCCTATCCAAGAGACGCTTAAAAATGTCCCTCATGTACTTGACTCTACTACCACCGCTGGCAGCACATTCCACACACACACCACTCTGTGTGTAAAGAACCTACCTCAAACATCTCCCCTATACCTTCCTCCAATCACCTTAAAATTATGTCCCCTCGTAATAGTCATTTCTGCCCTGGGAAAAAGTCTCTGACTATCCATTCTATCTATGCCTCTCATCATCTTGTACACCTCTATCAAGTCACCTCTCATCCTTCTTCGCTCCAATGAAAAAAGCCCTAGCTCCCTCAACCTTTCCTCATAAGATCTCCCCTCCAGTCCAGGCAGCATCCTGGTAAATCTCCTCTGCACCTTTGCTAAAGCTTCCACATCCATCCTATAATGATGCGACCAGAACTGAACACAATAATCCAGGTGTGGTCTAACCAGGGTTTTATGGAGCTGCAGCATAACCTCGCAGCTCTTAAACTAAATTCCCCTGCCAATGAAAGCCAACACACCATACACCTTAACAACCCTATCAACTTGGGTGGCAAATTTGAGGGATCTATGGACCTGGACCCCAAGATCCCTCTGTTCCTACACACTGCCAAGAATCCTGCTAATAACCCTGTATTCTGCATTCAAATTCGACCTTCCAAAATGAATCACTGCGCACTTCTCCGGGTTGAATTCCATCTGCCACTTCTTTGCCCAGCTCTGCATCCTGTCAATGTCCCATTGCAACCTACAACAGCCTCCACACTATCCACAACTCCATCCTGTCTCATCGGGAAACTTACCCCTCCACTTCCTCATCCAAGTCATTTAAAGATCACAAACAACAGAGGTCCCAGAACAAATCCCTGTGAAACCCCCCTGGTCACCGAGCTCCAGGTTGAATACTTTACATCTACTACCATCCTCTGTCTTCTATTGGACAGCCAATTCTGTATCCGCACAGCCAAATTTCTCTGGATCTCATGCCTCCTTACTTTCTGAATGAGCCTACCATGGGGAACCTTATCAAATGCCTTTCTAAAATCCATGTACACCACATCCACTGCTGTACCTTCACTAATGTGTTTTGTCACATCCTCAAAGAATTTAATAAGGCTTGTGAAGCATGACCTGCCCCTCACAAAGCCATTCTATTTCCAATCAAACTGCGCTTTTCCAAATAATCATAAATACTATCTCTCAGAATCCTCTCCAATAATTTGCCCAACACAGAAGAAAGACTGACTGATCTGTACTTCCCAGGACTATCCCTATTCCCTTTCTTGAACAAGGGAATAACATTTGCCACTCTCCAATCATCTGGTACTACTCCAGTGGACAGTGAGGACGCAAAGAACATCGCCAAAGGCACAGCAGTCTCTTCCCTCACTTCCCGTAGTAACCTTGGGTATATCCCATCTGACCCAGGGGACTTATCTATCCTCATGTTTTTCAAAATTTCTAGCACATCCTCCTTCAAACATCAACCTGTTTGAGCATATCAGCCTGTTTCACACTGTCTTCACAAACTACAAGGTACCGCTCACTGGTGAATACTGGAGCAAAGTATTCATTAAGGACCTCCCCTACCTCTTCCGACTCCACGCACAAATTCCCTCCACTATCCCCGATTGGCCATACCCTCACTCGGGCCATCCTCTTGTTCCTCACAAGTATAGAACATCTTTGGGTTTTCCTTAATCCTACCCACCAGGGCTTTTTCCATACCCACTTTTAGTTCTCCTAAGTCCATTCTTCAATTTCTTCCTGGCTACCTTGTAACCCCTCTAGAGCCCTGTCCAATCCTTGCTTTCTCAACCTTAAGTAAGCTTCCTTCTCCCTCTTGACTAGATGTTCCACATGTCTTGTCATCCAAGGTTCCATCCCTTCCTTGCCTCACTGGGACAAACCAATCCAGCATTCGTAGCAGGAGCTCACTAAACAATCTCCACATTTCTGCTGTGCATTTCCCCGAGAATATCTGTTCCCAATTTATGCTCCACAGTTCTTGCCTAATAGCACTGTCTGTGGTGGGGTATAGTCTAGATATGGTGCCAATCAAGCCAGTTGCTTTGTCATGGACGGTATCAAGCTTCTTGAGTGTTGTTGGAACTGCAATCATCCAGGCAAGTGGGGAGTATTCCATCAAACTCCTGACTTGTACCTTGTCGATATGGATAGGCTCTGGGGAGTCAAGAGGTGAGTTACTCATCACAGTATTCTTAACCTGTGACCTGCTCTTGTAGCCTATGTGGTGAGTCCAGTTGAGATTCTGTCAATGGTAATCCCCAGGATGTTGATAATGAGAGATTTAGTGATTTAAAGAGTCCAAGAAAAGTTTGAAGGAACCTGTTTTGGTGTATCATTGGTGAAGTGCTAGTAATTAATAAACCGGGAACCAAATTTCTGTTTCAGAGGGCCAATTCATAATCACAGTCAGGTTATCCATTTTGAAGTGGAGTCACTGGACCTGAAACATTAACTCTGACTTCCCTCCACAGATGCTGCCGGACCTACTAAGATTTTTCAGCAATTTCTGTTTTTGTTTCTGATTTCCAGCATCCACACTTTTGTTTGTTTTTAATGTGTAATTGCAGAGCAGCCTAAGGCAGTCTGCTAACTGGCATGGATTAGAAACAAAGAAACTCTACTGCTAATATCTGGGACTAAATAACAACCATAACACAACAGCACAACTCATCTTTTGTCTCAGCTGCACAACCTCCTTTCACTCCAGACACAGCCTCTGCCAGCACCAAGTCAGTGCACAAACATCCTAACCTCACTCAACAATTGCTGCTAAAAGTCTTTTCGGAAATAAAATAGCTCCTTGGGTTCACGTTCCAACCTGTGACATTTGGTGGAAATATCCTGGCTTGTCAGCTTCTACTCCACAATGCACACTGCTTCTGCAGGAGCTGGAGCTCAGGACCCCAAATGTAATCTTTGTGACACCATTAGACTCATGCCCACAGTTTGTGAACCGCTGTTCTTTTAATGACTTAAATCTAACACATTTTCTAGTTTAATCCCAATTTACCTCAGCAAGGATTCTTCAGTCTTATGGATTGAACTACAGAGCTGTTTTTTGCTCTGCTCATGGGCATAATAAATTCCCTACAGAGATTAAACAAATGAATACAGCAAATTTTCATTCTAAATCCCTGAGGATTTTGCAAGCAACTGTCAGCATGGTGACTGACAAGCACTGTTCCTTCACTAATGACAACAAAATCCAGATACTGGGTCCAAAGAGTAGGACATTCCCTGTTCTTTTCTACTTGGGCCCCTCCTATATCTCTTTCTCCGCTATATTAATGGCATCATCAGCAATGCTTCCTGATCAGCACTGGAAAAATTAATCAGATTTCTTTCAGTTTCCGTCTTTTTCTCACCTTCAGTTGATTTATCTCAGACTCTTCCCTTCCGTTCCTTGACATCTGTTTCCAAATAAGAGAATAGACAGTCCACCAATATCTATTACAAACCCAACGACTCCCACAGTTACCTTGTCTAACACTTCCTCATTCCCTGCTTCCTGCAAAGACTCCCAGTTTCTCCATGTCATCTGTTGCAATGATCCATCTCTTCCACAGGGGTTCTTTTGACATGTCTTCCTATTCATTTAAATGAAGGAATCTCCCCACCATAGTTGACAAGGCTCCAATTACGTCTGATCAATTTCCTGCAATTTGGCCCTCACCCCCTCCCGTTGTCTCCCAGAACATCCAGAGTTACCTCTGTCCTTACTTTCCACCCCACAAGTCTCCAGATTCAAAGAATTATCCTCTGATATTTGCATGACCTCCAGCAGGATGTCACAAACAAGCATATCTTCCCTTCCTATGTGTCAGCATTCTGTAGGGACTCTTTTCTCTATTAACAGCCATGGCCACTTGTCTATCACTCCCAACATGCCACATGGCACCTTCAAATGCAATCACAAACAATATAAAACTTGCACCTTTATCTCCTCCCACCTCACTATCCAAGATGCCAGACATAACTTCTAGGTGAAACAATGACTTACCTGTACTTCTTTCATTCAAGTCTACTTTATTTGCTGCTCACAATGTAGTCTCCTTTACATCAGCGAGACCAAACACAGATTAGATTGACATCTTTATGGAATACCACTTTGTCAGCAAGAATGACTCGGACCTTCCAATCACCTAAAATTTCAACACACCATCTGCCATGCTAACATCTGTTCTGGGTCTGTAGTTTTCCAGTGAAATCCAAAGCAAGCTTGAGGCACCAGCACATCACAGCCTTCAGGACTCAATTTAAGACCAAGAACTATGTTCTCCATTACCCCAGGTTTACTTCCCTAAAGAGTACTAGTGAACCAGGTGAGTTTTTCTGACAGTCAACAATAGTCATATGATACCTTTGAACAGCTTTTAAGTTTAGATTTATTAACTGAATTCAAATCTGCCATACTGGGACTTGAATCTTGGAACATTAATCTAAGATTCAACAATACTAATCACATTACTATCACCTCCTCTAAATTGCTTTGAAGTAAATGCAGCAGCTAATTTGCCCAAAATCTAGGAAGCTTCAATCAAATATAGGACCAGATAACTAGTTTGTTGAAATTCGTTCAGGGATAATTGTTAATCAGCTTACTTGGAGGACATTGTTGCTCTTATTAAAATAACATCAAAAGACATGGTGTGCAGACCTGAATTTGCAAACATCCTCAATTTAACACATCATACAAAAGAAGCCACACTTGACAATGAAGCATTCCTTCCTTAGTTACTACTCAAGATTATAGAATTGCATGCTGAAATGGATCTTAAGTCTTGAAATATTGATTCAAAGTGACAGTGCAACCAATGATGCCAACACACCCCATGCTAAGTAGGAAGTACAATGGGTAACATACATTTTTTAAAAAATCCAGCATTTCTCTTCAGCTGCAAAAGTTTTGATAGCTATTTTAAACTGACTGTTACGAATCATTAAAATATTACTTACCTTCTTCCCTTTGAAGATTACGTTCAATATTGGCAACACAAGCAGCACATGTCATACCAGTCACTTGTATGAAACACTTTCCTGTTGCTGATGGTGCTTCACTGTTTCGGTCATCTGGGTCGGGTTTGGGAGGTAGAAACTCAACAACGTGATCAGTGGAAGGGAATACCTTCTTCCTTACAGCACGTGCATTTTCTATGGTATGCACGGAATTCCTTGAGGATATGTTTGAAATGACTGAAGTGGAATCACTCATGCTACCGACATCTATATTTAAAGGGGGAAATAAACACCCCAGGTCAAAGACTGCTATTATTCTTTTTTCCCTTGAAAGTATTTTACAAGAAACAATTTATACAAATTTTCAGGAACAAGAAAACGCCACAGCAAAATGAGTAAAATTCTATTTAAGATTATTTACCCTTGCCTTCTCGCAGGAGCAATATGGTCTAGAATTAAAAGTGTGTAGCCCCACTTTAATTCCAATTCTGCCAATCTCTGTTTACAACACAACTTTGGTAGAGGAATGGATGTCTCATGCTCAAGCCTCATCCATAAATACTAATCAGGACCCTATAATAGGACTCCAGGAGTATTTTAACTGGTACCTAGTGGTAACTCAATCAATGATGACTTCCAGTAGGCTGAATCATAGAAACATAGAAGATAGGAGCAGAGAGGAGGCCATTCAGCCTTTTGAGCCTACTCCACCATTTTTCACAATCACGTCTGATCGTCCAACTCAATAGCCTAATCCTGCTTTCTCCCCATAACCTTTGATCCTATTTTCCCCAAGTGCTGGATCTAGTCCAGTGGAGGGCGGCGACAATGCTGATAGGCGGTTGGGACAAAGATTTGCTTCGATGCAGTCACCACTATCAAACAGGGATTTGAGGAGGACGTGTTGTTGAGGGACAGTTAGACCCCAAACACTACGTTAGTGTTTCCCTCCCTCCCTCCTCTAACCAACAAAAACATAGCGACTGTAAAGACCACAAGCAAGGATAAGTGAGCGGTCTTGCTCTGCTGCAGGTGACTACAAGGAAGAGACTTAATTGTTGAGTAGCAGGTAAGGCAGGTGAGCTCTCATAATTTCTAGTAGTGTTTTTGGCTTCTTATCTGGAAGGGCAGTACACGGACCAGGAAAGAAGGGCCACAGGTAAATGGATTTGCTTTAACCTAATATAAAGTACTCTCCACAGTTTATTTTAAAAAAGTAAACCGTGGCAGGAGAGCTCAAAGTCTTGGTTTGCTCCATGTGGCAGACTGGGGACAGTTCTAGCTCCCTGCGTCAGCATGTATGCAGAAAGTGCCTCCAGCTACAGCTCCTGGAAGTTTGAGTTTCAGAGCTAGAGCAGCAGTTGGGGACACTGTGGAGCATCCATGAGGCAGATAGCATCGTGGATAGCACATATAGAGAGGTGGTCACACTGCAGGCTCAGACTTTGAGAGCGGGAAGGGAATGGATGCCCACTAGATAGATTAAGAGAGATAGGCAGGTAGTCCAGGAATCTCCTGTGGCCACTCCCCTGCAAAACAGATATACCGTTTTGGATACTGTTGACAGGAATGACCTCTCAAGGAAAGCAGCAGCCGCCAAACTCATTGCACCAAGGTTGGTTCTGCTGCAGAGGGGAGTGGTAAAAAGTGTGCCGGGGGCTCAATTGTAAGGGGAATAGACAGGGGTTTCTGTGGCCAGAAATGAGACTCCAAGATGGTATGTTTCCCCCCGATACTAGGGTCAAGGATGTCTCAGCGTGGGTACAGGGCATTCTGAAGGGGGAAGGTGAACAGCCAGTGGTCGTGTACACATTGGTACAAACGACATCAGTTAAAAAAAAAAAGGATGAGGTCCTAAAGGCAGAATACAGGGAGCTAGAAAGAAAGTTAAGAAATCAGATCTCAAAGGTATTGATCTCAGGATTACTACCGGTGCCACGTGCTAGTCAGAGGAGAAATGACAGGAAATACCGGATGAATACGTGACTGCAAAGATGGTGTCGGGGAAGGGGTTTCAGATTCCTGGGGCATTGGGACCGGCTCTGGGGAGGTGGAACCTCTGCAAATGGACGGGTTATGCCTGGGCAGGACTGGGACTGATGTCTTAAGGGGAATGTTCGCTAAAGCAGTTAGGGAGGGTTTAAACTAATATGCCAGAGGGATGGGAACCTGTGTAAAGAGTCAGAGAAGAAAGCAGCAAGGACAAAAACAAAAGCTGGAAGAGGGAATCAGTAAAGTGATAGTCTGAGAAACCAAGGACAAGATTCAAACAGGGCTATTGAGAAAAATGAGGAGGAGACAAGAACAGTTAAAAGGACAAGCTTAAAGGCTTCGTGCCTTAATGCGCGGAGCATCTGCAATAGAGTGGATGAACTAATCGCACAGATAGAAGTAAACGGATACAATATAATTGGGATTACAGAGACATGGCTGCAGGCTGACCAAGGATGGGAACTGAATGTCCCAGGGTATTCAGTATTTAGGAAGGACAGTCAAAAAGGAAAAGGTGGCCGAGTGGCATTGCTGGTTAAAGAAGAAATTAATACAATAGTGAGAAAGGACATTAGCTCTGACAATGTGGAGTCTGTATGGGTAGAGTAGAGAAATATCAGGGGGCAAAAACACTAGTAGGTGTCATACAGACACCCCAAACTGCAGTGGTGATGTCAAAAATGACATCAAACAGGAAATTAAAGATGCATGTGATAAGGGAATATCAGTGATCACGGGTGATTTTAATCCGCACATAGATTGGGCAAATCAAATTAGCCACAATACCATAGAGGAGGAATTCCTAGAGTGTATACGGGATGGTTTTCTTGATCAACATGTGGAGGAACCAATGAAAGAGCAGGCCATCTTAAACTGGGTGCTCTGTAATGAGAAGGGGATCATTGTCAATCTAGCTTTGTGAGACCCCTTGGGAGCAGCAACCACAACATAATAGAATTTTTTTTAAAATCAAGATAGAGAGTGAGGTTTTTGATTTGGAGACGAGGGTACTGAACCTTAATAAAGGACACTACGAGGATATAAGGCATGAGTTGGTGTTGACAGATTGGAGAGAGTTACTTAAAGGGATGACAGTGGATACGCAATGGCAAACATTCAAGGAACGCATGGGGGAACTGCAACAACTGTTTACTCTTGCCTGTCGCAAAAGCAAAATGGGTGAGAGGTCCAATCCATGGCTTACAAAGAAAATAAGAGATAGCATCCGATCCAAGGAAGGAGCATACAGATTGGCCAAGAAAAAGAATAAATCTGAGAATTGGAAGCAGTTTAGAATTAAGCAAAGAAGGACCAAGGGATTGATTAAGAAGGGGAAAATAGGATACGAAAGTAAGCTTGCAGGGAACATCAAAATTGACACTAAGAGTTTCTCTCGATATGTGAAGAGAAAGAGATTTGTAAAGATAAACGTAGGTCCCCTTCAGACAGAAAAGAGGAAAATGTATAATAGGGGTCAACGAAATGGCTGAGGAACTAAACACATGCTTTGTTTCTGTCTTCACAAAAGAGGACACAAATCAGATACCATAAGTGTTGAAGAATGCAAGATTTAGTGAGAGGGAAGAACTGAGGGGGATCAATGTTGGTAGTGAAATGGTGATGGGAAAATTGTTGGGAGTGAAGGCCGATAAATCCCCAGGGCCTGACATTCTACATCCCAGAGTACTTAAGGAAGAGCTCTAGAAATAGTGGATGCATTAGTCATCTTCCAGGAATCTATAGACTCTGGAACAGTCCCTGCAGATTGGAGGGTGGCTAACGCCACTCCAATATTCAAAAAGGGAGGTAGAGAGAAAACAGGGAAGTACAGACTGATGAGCCTAACATCAGTATTGGGGAAAACCCTTGAATCCATTGTCAAGGATTTTATAGAAGGGCATTTAGAAAGCAGTGGCAGGATCAGTCACAGTCAGCATGGATTTATGAAGGGGAAATCATGCTTGACAAATCTGTTGGAATTCTATGAAGATGTAACTAATAAAATTGACAAGGTGGAGCCAATTCGATTTAGAATATTTGGACTTTCAGAAATTGTTTGATAATGTCCCGGATAAGAGCTTAATGTGCAAGATTAAAGCACATGGGATTGGGGGCAGTGTAGAGATGGAAAACTGGTGCCACAGGGATTGGTGCTGGGATCCCAGCTATGCATAATATGTATTAATGATTTGGATGAGGGAACAAACATAACCTCTCCAAGTCTGCAGATGATGCCAAGTTGGGTGGGAGGGTGAACTGTGACGGGGATGCAGAGATCCTTCAGCATGATCGACAGGTTGGATGAGTGGGCAAATCAATGGCAGATGCAGTATAACTTGGATAAATGTGAGGTTTTACACTTTGGAAACAAAAACAAGAAGGCAGATTACTACCTGAATGGCTGTAAATTGGGAGAGCGGTGTCTGCAGCTGGACCTAGGCGTCCTTCTGCACCAGTCACTGAAGGTAAGCGTGCAAGTGCAGCAGGCAGTAAAGAAGGCAAATGGTATGGTCACCTCCATTACAAGAGGTTTTGAATATAGGAGCAGGAATGTATCACTGCTGTTGTACAGGGCCTTGGTGAGACCACACCTGGAATAGTGTGTGCAATTTTGGTATCCTTTTCTGAGAAGGGATGCTCTTGCTCTCGAGAGAGTGCAGCAAAGGTTTATCAGGCTGATTCCGGGGATGGCGGGTCTGACGTATAAGGAGAGATTGACTAGTTTCGGATTGTTTTCACTGGAGTTCAAATGAATGAGGGGGGAATCTCAGAGACTTATAAAATTCTAACAGGACTGGACAGGGTAGAGGCAAGGAGGATGTCCCCAGTGGTGGGTGTGTCCAGAACCAGAGGTCATAGTATGGGGATTCGCGATAGATGATTTAGGATGGAGATGAGGATGCATTTCTTCACTCAAAGAGTGGTGAGCCTGTGGAATTCATTACCACAGGAAGTAGTTGATGCCAAAACATTGAATGTATTCAGGAGGCGATTAGAGTCTCCTCTGTTGGAAAGATGAAAAGGTTATCCAAAAACTAAAAATAACTTCCTTATAGGGCCAAGCAACAGGAAAATTCTGAACGTCCTCATTCTGAATTTCCTCTTTCCCTCCCAGGAAATGCCTTCAAAAATCTTTTTAACAAAAAATAAATTGAGGATAGCTTGCTCTTACCAGATCAACAGTACATTTGAACATTTCTAGGAGTGGGTTATTATTCTACAATAGTTCTTAACAAAAACAATTT